CCTATCATGGTCAAGATCAAGGCAGATCACTGTGTGGTGGACACGGGTGGTCAGTCTCCTCCTTCAAGACACGCCTGGCCTGGAAGGAGCCTACAACCTTCATCTGTGAGGCTTCGGACCTACCTCAAAGAGACCATCCCGGTGGTGGGTTGTACCAATGTAAACGTAGATTACAATGGCCAGTTGTGTGAATTACCACTAGTTGTTGTGGGTGGCTCTGGACCTTCCCTTCTGGGTAGGGATTGGCTGAGTCATGTTCAATATAGGTTACACTACACCCACGAGGCGGTTTAGTGGATATACACTAAACCACAGAGTGGGTGTAATAAAACGTACCACAGAATGCGCGGGGGAAAAACCTGGTTTGCGTGGTTAGCGCGCGCCTCTCCCGCAGCTAGCTAGCCAGCGCTCTTCCTGCCGTGTGCGTGATGGCTGAAGTTACGGCCTATCCTCAAGAGGATCTTTTTGACGTACTAACGCAAGAAATCTATAATCCTGATGGCTGCCTTCCAGAGGTTGACCAGTACCTTACCCAGATCCCAGCTCAATCCGATTTTGACTCCCTCTGGACTGGCTAGAGGCTGCAGATGAGGCGGAGAAAGTACAGGGGGTGGAGAATGTGCAGCCCGGCGACGGTTCCCGCTTCGGACCGTGCGTGACCGCTTCTGAGATTGCTGCGCTGCAGGAGACTGCTGTTCCAGCCAACACGAAAAAGAACACCAGCTGGGCAGTGTGGAACGAGTGGTCAGCTTACCGTAGGGGTCAAGACCCGTCTAATTATCTTCTTACCATGCAAGTTAGTGAATTAAATGAGTGGCTCAGCCGGTTCGTTGTTGAGGTCCGTCGGAAGGACGGGAAGTTTTACCCGCCTAATACTTTACATCAGTTGTGCTGTGGTTTGTTACGACGATTGCGCGAGGTCGATCCCTCTTTAGATATATTCAAAAACCCTGAATTTGATTCCTTCCGAAAAACACTCGATGCTGAAATGAAGCGTTTTGCCAGACATGCAAATAGCCCCCAAGAAAGCCGAGGCTATAACTGGAGTGGAGGAGGAGTTGCTCTGGGAGAAAGGTTTGCTTGGTGCTCACTCTGCTCAGACCTTAATTGATACTATGGTGTTTATGGCTGGATTGTACTTCGCGCTTCGGAGTGGAGATGAACATAGGCGATTGCGTTTTACAAATGTACAACTGGTGGAAAAGCGAGGGTGTCTTCCATATCTTCTTTATACCGAGGCAGCATCAAAGAATAATCCAGGTGTATTAAAGCATAGAAAAATACAAAACAAACAAGTTACTCACTATGCTAATGTGGAGCGACCAGATCGCTGTTTTGTTCAGTTATATAAAGAATATTGCTTGCATCGCCCTGCTAATGTTGTTGGTGACGTGTTTTATTTAGCCCCACTTTCTAAACCAAGGGGCATGGTGTGGTTTAAAAATCAGGCAATTGGGGTCCATACTCTGTCCTCTACAGTAAAGCGTCTATGTGAAAAAGCTGGAATTGAGGGTTACAAAAGCAATCACTCGCTACGTGTCACGGCTGCAACGAGATTGTTTCAAAGTGGAGTAGATGAACAACTTATTATGGAGAGGACTGGACATAGATCTACTGATGGCGTCAGGGCATATAAACGTACTTGTCCAGAGCAGTCAGAGCAGGTGTCAAAGATGCTTAACAGAGAGAAATTTGAGCTACTGCCTCCATCAGCTTTCACTTCAAGCTGTACTTCTACAACCACTACCTCTACCACAGCTACTCTCTCCCCTAGAAAAGGAAAATAGACTCCCATCCATCAATTTGTCTGGTTGTTCTGGGCGGCGGCTTTGATCTTTAGCGCTTCTGTGGTACAAACCTGGTGTACAATGCCTCACTACACTCAGTATTGTCTAGGTATCAGGGTGTGTTCTAGGAAGGCCTTGGGACCCTGAAGGGTTTTAAGGCTAAGATATATGTTGAGCCTGACACACCACCTAGATTCAACCCTGCACTCTCTGTTCCTTATGCATTGAGGGAAAAAGTTGAGAAAGAGCTACAACGCCTCCAGGAAGAGGGTACCATAGAACCGGTGGAGTTTGCCGAGTGGGCTGCTCCCATTGTCGCTGTCTTGAAACGGGATAGGAACACTGTCCGTATCTGTGGTGATTTTAGTGTCACTGTCAACCCGGTTTCAAAGTTGGACAGATACCCGATTCCAAAGGTGGAGGACCTTTTTGCGAGACTAAGCAAGGGAAAGCATTTTTCAAAATTAGACCTGAGTCAGGCATACCAACAGGTGCCATTAGAGGAGGACTCTAAGTGATAAACACGCATCGGGGATTGTTTCGGTACACGAGATTGCCGTTCGGTATCTCGTCGGCCCCGGGTATTTTTCAGCATGTGATAGAGAGCATCCTCCAGGGCATAGATGGTGTAGTTGTCTATCTTGATGACATCCTCATAACTGGTGCTTCCAAAGAGGCACATCTCAAGACTCTAGAGGAAGTTTTGAGCCGTCTAGACAGGGCTGGGCTAAGGGTAAAAAAGTCCAAGTGTGAGTTCATGAAGTCCTCGGTGACGTACCTAGGGCACAGAATAGATGCCGATGGTCTTCACCCGCTGACGGACGGGGTCCGTGCAGTCAAAGAGGACCCCTACACCCAATTCAGTGCCTAAGCTAAAGTCTTACCTTGGCGTGCTTACTTACTATAGTAAGTTCCTTCCTAACCTGTCAACACTCGTACACCCATTGTACCAGTTGCTTAGAAAAGATGTTGACTGGAAATGGGGTGCTGCTCAAACTAAGTCCTTTACTGCCTCAAAGACCTCCTCACTTCCGAGAAGTGTCTCACTCACTTTGACTCTGCTCTTGAGCTTACTCTGGCTTGTGATGCCTCAACTTATGGTCTAGGGGCAGTGCTGTCACACAAGATGGCTGACGGTACAGAGAGGCCCATAGCTTACGTGTCACGTACGCTCACAACTAGTGAGAGAAATTAGAAAAGGAAGGTCTTTCCTGTATTTTTGGAATAAAGAAATTTCACGTCTTACTGGACGATGACAGATGCAAACGCTGTCACCAAGACCAGTTATGTCCAAGGGTCACTGACGATGGACCTCCAGACATGTCAGAAATTCCAGTGACACCAACCACTCCTGAAACAGGACCAGAACCTGAGTTAACGAACTCTGATCAACCGAACGTTCGAACGAATCCGACTACAACGTCCGATACATCCGATTCGACCGTTACGACGAATTCATCTGATTCGAACACCCGTCGTTCGTTATCCCCGTCGACAACGAAAACCTCGTGAAAGGTTTGAACCTGGAAAAACTTGATATTGTGTATGAATTTGTCTGTGTGTTATGGCATGCATGAGTTCTGTAGTGTCTTTGTGTATTGTTTTCCTATTGTGTAATGTTCTTGTTTGTAGTTGCATGTTTATACTTTGTTTATTGTGTTTTGGTTCTTTATTAACCCTCGGCGCGCATGCGCAGCGAGGGTTACGGTAGTTGTCCCGTAAGTGTGTCCGTCAGTCAGTCAGTCTGTCAGTCTGTCTGTTACCACGTTTTCTGCCACCGCGCGCACGAAATCAGGTAAATAGCGATATGATCGGGTTCAGTGCTACACTGGGTTGATTTTTAAAAAGGCGATTGTCGTAAAACTATATGTAAATTAGCACAGGCTTACCTCGACCGCGTCCGTTCGCTCTGTGTCTTGAAGGCACAACAAGTCACAACGAAGGGCATGTATCGACTCCCGCATGCTATTTACTACTGTAGCTAGCCCGTGCCAGACTCTCCGCGAGCTACTAGCGGGATACCGCGAGTAAAGGCATAAAAAGCCCAGCCCATCAATTAGTGGTACCGCACATGCGCAGTTCGCCGAGGGTTTGCACTTTAGTGCTTTTCATTTTCACATCTTTTGATTTTCTGTAAGCATTCACCTAAGGGGGGAGGAATGTCATAGATATGCATTGACTGGTCATTAAATACTCTCGTGACGTCACTTATACTTCATTTCCGTTTCCAATTTTTAGCTATATAAGTAGCGTACTCTCTTACTGTGTGCAGACTGTTAGACTGTGTTACTTATCAATATGTCAATGCGTGCGTGTTGAACCTACGAGGTCACGACAACTGTCCATTAGGCAAGGATGCTTTCAGTGACATCGGTAAATGGGGAAAGCCCAAGAAGGAGCAAACTATAGGCATTAAAATTAATCCGTTTGAGACCCCTGAAATTATGCGATTGAGTTTGCTTACATTCTTGATTGAGGGAGCCCCTTCCCTTGATTGAAATCCCGGTGAGCAGGTTGCCTTGCACTGTGAGAGGTCTGCCGACTGGGTCGATGCCAGGGAGGAGGCTGAAGGTGTTACTGGGATGAAACAGGTCCTGTGGGAGACATGACCACAAAAACAACAGCGGAATCTGAGCATTACTATGGTATGATATTATAATTTTCACCCCTACTTCATTTTTCAGAGTAAACTTCAACCTCTGTGTGACCACACCCAATTTTAAGGAGCTATAATTATACTGCAACAGACAAACTACTCCACATTGTGCACGGATATACAAATTTATATCCTTGGCTTACTCAGTGACAGTTTGAAACAATGAGCAATCGTCAACCTTGCCGCAGTACCTACGTACGTTCTATGATGCACTCATAATTCCTACCATAATGGTGTATCCAGTGGGGAGTACGGGGTCATTAGTTGGGACCAGTTGGTCAGTGGCAGCTCTGTAGCCTCCGGGAGTGACGGGGGGAGGGGGGGCTGGGGTCGCCCTTGGCTTTGGTTTCGGTGGTGGGGGCCGCTCTGGATTAGCTACAGTATACACAGAGTAAGACTTAATACATAAACATGGAGTGCTACAAAAGAGTAAGAGTCTTCCTTAGTTCAAATGTATGGATGGTTTGTATCACCTTCACCTTTTGGGACCTGAAAATTGAAATAGGTAAGGTTGATGGTGGTGTATACATGATGATATTTAAATTTCAATGGGCTTACAGGTTTCTCTCTTCCCGTGAAGATCTCATACATCTCCTCCAGTCTGTCCACCAGCCAGGTCCTCTGTTCCAGGACTGTCTCCCTGGCACACATCTCATCATCCTTCATCTTTAGGTCCACTCTCACACCTTCAATCTCAGTCAGCATCTGCTGTATCGTTTGGTTCTGTAGCAGTAATTTACAGAGTAACAGAGAACTTGACAGGGCTTTAGGTACAACAGAATAATATGCTCTTGTGGGACAAAGGAAGAGTTTCAGCCAGTTACACTTTTGTATTAAGATTACTCACGAAAAGAGATGAGTATATTGAAACCTACGATAGCTATATACCTACCCCACTCAGAAGTTTTTTCACCACCGAGGACCAGAGTGGACCATCTTCACTAACATGAGGCAGTGGAACCCCTGTATACACAGAGAGAGGTATATATAATGTATATAGGTACTGTGTTGATTGGGTATCTGATGCTATCAGGTTTCCAGGAGATGTCTATATATGTACACAGTGAATATTGGGCTAAAAATGCTTTATACTCCCTATGTACTCCCTAAATTCATACTGTGTAGAATAAAAGTGTTCATGTGCTAGGCATGCCTTTTTCTATGCAGGCAATCTGGGCCTTGCCCCTCAATCCCAGTAAAATCAGAGCCTCCACCAGTACAGACCACTTGGCTGTGTATCCCCCGCTCCTGCCCCAGGTATGCAGGACGCTGGCCCTCTGTTTCTCATCGTCCTTCTTGTCGACTGCCTCAATGGCCAGCCACTCCTCCATCCTCAGACCCAGGATCTGACTCAGGAGGAAGGGAGGTGTGTCCTCAAACAGCCTCACTGCCAGTGGGTAATCCTCCTCCATCAACTCCTTGTCCTCAAACACTGTATATAACAGTATAGTACAAAGAGTAAAAGTTCATCAGCAGGTATGGATTTTCCTTTTAATTACTTGAAATGGCACTGGAGGCCTCAGTTGGACTCTTGAGTGTGGAGAGAAGAGACTCCAGGTCAGCCGGCTCTGGTCTGTAGGATTACACGGTACTTCTCAATGGTAACAAATCACAGTTAGTCTTACTCTGTTTTCGGCTTCTCGGAATCACCTTCTTCATCTAAACCTTCTCCCCTCAGCTCTGGTGTTAAAACTCTTATGAGCATTGTATTATAGGGTTTTACTCACCTTCGTTCTCTACATTCTCAGCAGGAACAGTAGTTGGATCTTCCGAATCCCTTCCACCTTCTTCATCACTATCCTAAATATTAAGAACACAAAAGATACCACAGCAACCTACTAAATTAAAACATACCGGTAAATCGTCGGGGATCTTGATGTACTTCAACATTTTGTAGATATTGTTCATCATATGTGATCGCTCCCTCTCAAATTCCGGCCGTACTCCCTGAAGTTGTTTCTCCAGGTTGCTGGCAATCCAGTCCAGCTTCCCAATGTCGGTCGCCTCCAGTTTCCCCTGGAGATCGACAATCTTTGTCACGAGCTCCTTCTCCGTCATCTGGTGCTGCTGAACTTTCTTCTTGAGATACATGATCTCGATTTCTTTAGTCTCAATCTCTTCCTTGGTGGCTCGCTCTGCCCTCAACCTTCTCAGCTCTGCTTCTTTCTCTCGCAGTGTTTTCTGGGCCTTTTGCTTCTCTTCCTCGAGCAAATGCTTCTTTTCCTCCAATTCTTGGATAGCATCGTTGTACTGCTTTTCAAATTCATCCTTTTGAGAGTTGACCTCTTCCAGCCGATCCTCGCTGTCGACAAGGAGAGCATCTTTGGTTTTGACGTCAACCCTTAGTTTCTCCGTCTCTTCCAGCAGTGTTACAAGATCACCTCCTTCCTATTGGAGCAGATGCAGTACAATGGGACCTCTGATAAGGGACCCTCCAGATACATAGGGATGACCTCTCTACAAGAACACTTGTAGCCCATGCTAATACAAACTTAATTATGATTTGACCACGGGAAGACCTCTCCACAAGGGACAAAATAGTTGGCATCATAGTGTCCCTTGTTCCAAGGTTCTTATATTATTCTCTCTCACACACACATACACACACCACACACACACACACACACACACACACACACACACACACACACACACACAACACACACACACACACAACACACACACACACACACACACACACCACACACACAATTTCACACGGCTGTGTGCAGCTAGCATTAGTGTTTGACAAACTCACATTAATTGGGATGAGAGCTTTCAGAGCACCCCAGAGCTGACTGTCCTCCCATACCCCAGGCAGTACAATCCCTGTATACCCAACATAATATTAATATTTTGAGTTGTCAAAACCCGTACACATTCCGTGGCTCTATATCACCATACCTCTTCTTTCAGCCACTTCTTGTGCAGTTTTCCTATGACCCACTTCGTTGAGAGCCTCCACTAGAGTGGACCAGGTAGAGCTCTCTGGACAGGCGTTTATCCATGCCATAACTCACCTGCAGAATGAGGTACGTAGCAAAGCAATAAAGAGTGGATAAAACATTTTAAATTGCTGAGTGAACGCAAGGTTCACACTCACGCATGTGCAGCATCAATAAATGATTCAATTCTATGCCTGCATTAATGAAAGACATTATGGTAAAGGTGGCACAGACAGACAGACAGACACACAGAACGACTACCGTAACCCTCGCTGCGCATGCGCGCCGAGGGTTAATAATTATGCGTGCGGGATATTCTATAATGCGGGTCGCGTATACTGTGTATACTCCGGGTGTGTATACTGTGTATAATATTGTGAACTAGATAGCGCACAATGCAGTTCGTTTAGCTAAGCTAATGAAGCTAGGCTAGCCTAGCTGTTTTAAGCTAATGGAAGCCAGGTGGAGAATGGAGAGTTGCAAAACTCCAGCCCAAAGGTTGTATATAGAATGCCTAATTACGCATGCGCAATAATGACAATATGCGGGCAAAAACCAAAATTGCTCAATTTTTCTATGATAATAGGCGGGATATGACATTATCCGTATTGTATGTATTCTATAAAACGGAGTAAAATGTATGGGAAAGCATAGGAAATGGATTTCAGGTTTGTATGATTATAAACGGGATATTCTATTAAGTGGGACCCACTGTATACGTACCAAAGCAACAAAGGTGGATAAAACATTGCTGAGTGAACGCAAGGTTCACACTCACGCATACGCAGCATAATTAATGATTCAATTCTATGCCTGCATTAATGAAAGACATTATGGTAAAGGTGGCACTATCGAAAATGGTGCAATCCAGACAATGTGTATAGGCTTGCTTAAAAAACTGATATATACACAAAAGGATTAAACGAGACCTCAGTAAGATATCTCTGATGGTTGTCTGAGTAGTTTTGCTCAATGTCTTTGAGTCGAGAATCAGGAATGCCGAGAAAAGTGCCAAAAACAAACACATCTTCTTTCCTGATCCCAGAGAGCAGGTTCATCAGATCCTTAATGTCCTCTGTCACCACCTTCTTATCAGTCGCACCTCCTGGTTTGTGTGGATTTGTTATAATTATTATAACAAGAGGAGAGAAATACGGAATAACATGGAGAGACAGTGAGAGTATTGCACGCAGATACCTTTCTTCTCCCTCATTCTCTTCTTGGCAGCCACCAAGTCACTCAGAAGAGATCCCAGATCCATTCCAGTCATGTCTGGCAGCCTGAACCAACGGGTCTCTGCAGATACCAAAATTGTTTTACTCAGACGGTGAACTGATCTACGAGCTACACAGTCCAACACAGTCAAAGCAGAGCACTTTTTTTGACTATTGGATGAACTATATACTTGCTGTATGCATGCACATATTAAGTACTGCTTTTGAGATGGAACTTACTTATTTGGGTCCTTAGCATCTTCGACTACTGGTTTGGTGGGATTCTCTTCGATCATATCTTCAAGAGCTACAATTGCACACATCAGTTACAACTCGGTAGCTGCCAGTCCACAGCAAATAATAACCAAAGGCCAAAGGATGCAAAGAAAAAGGGTAAGAACAAAACTCTCCCTTCTGTCTGAATTACTATCAGCCATCCACATGATAGTTGCACATCCTTTTAACAGCTTTCATTTTGAACCACAACTATGCAATCACAAGTGATTCATTTACTCTCTGTGAAGCACAACAGGCTTCATGCCAATCTACAGTAAGTCGATGCAAGTCAGTATTGGTATAATATACGAATTCGGCAAATGGATATCCTACAGCGATTATTTTCAGAAGCCTTGCAAGCAGATAGACGGCATAGGCGAGGGAACTTACTCTCAACGTAAATCCCAGCCTTCTTGGCCTGTTTCTCATAGTTCTTCTTGGCGTTCAGGCGGTGAACCTCCAGGGAGCGGACGAGATGTTTGAATCTCGCGTTGCAGAGCTCGCAGATGTAGGAGCCGAGTCCATCCGTCTTCTCGAGAGGCACCTCCAGGAGATCTGCCATTCTGTCGGCCACCCCGCGCTCCACGCTGTCAGGGCTGTACAGGTGGATGGCCGCTGCAGACTCGCTCACATCTCGCGTGCAGAGACGGCAGGTTTGCTCGCTCTCCATCCCTAGTCCGCAGCTTAGAATTCAACGCAGAGTTGTTATACAGTCTGAGCGTGTTATGTGTATATATGCGCAGATTGCGCTGCAACAATATACTGCTGAAGTGCAAACTCTCGGCGCATTATACGCATGCGCGGTACCGCTAATTGGGCATGGCATGCCGATGCGGGAGGGCCTTCGTGGTGACATCTTGTGCCTCCGCAAGGTACAAAGAGCAAGCGGATTGGTCGAGGGAGCTGGTGCGATTTATGCATATTATCCGGAGAATTGTGCGTGGGCGTATGTTTTAGATATTTTTCCAATAGCACAGCTAAAACGCTCGTGATTTATAGTGAGTTTAGTAATATTTCTCGGATTTTTCCTACCTTGTTTTCCAAACTCATTAGCATATTCATATTCCTCCTCCATACATTCTCTATGGGAGAGAAAACTCGTGCGCGACTCACCCAGGAGCGAACGGTCCGTATCCATTATGCGCAGTGGCCTGCTTCGGTACGCGGGATTAGCGTGACCGGGTGGCAAAGGTCAACGTGAAAACGTAATGCTCAAAACTTGGCCACGCCTATTTTTCGGGATGGCGCCTGCGCGCGCGTATTAGAGCCCCAGCTTCACTTACTTTATCCCACGTTCATTGGCTCTATAATTGTAGGTGGAGTCAAAGTCTGCAGATGACGGTAAGGCGGCAGCAGAGCTGAAATCCCAGCTGGAGAAGGCTAGAAAGAGTCTGGAAATAGCCCGGTCTAGTCTCTCCGAGGCCAACAGAGAGCTGGAGGAGGCCAACAAGAAATGTGACGAGCTTCAAGAGACAGTTTCCAACATGGAGCAAGAGGTGAGGGGTCTCAGACACGAGCTCAAAGGTGAAGAGCTACTCAGAAATGATTTGGCTCATGAGAACCTCCAACTAAAGCTTCAAGTGGAACGCTTGAAAAGAAAGTAGATAGAAACGGTTTGATTGATACATGTGTATTATTACCCTCGGCGCGCATGCGCAGCGAGGGTTATACAGTAGTTAACCCTCGGCGCGCATGCGCAGCGAGGGTTACTGTAGTTGGGTTTGTTACTCTACATCTCACCTCTCGAATGTCTGTTCGTCCCAGAAACGATACCATCTACCCAACGGGCGACGAAGGTCAGAAAATATGTGGGGTTTTCTCTGAAAATGCTCCGTTGCAGAGCTAGAGCGCTTCCAGCATTGTATGGCTAATGCCGGTAGTCGCCATTTTATCGCTGGCGGATAATGCGCATGCGCTTATATTTAGCACAGTCGACCGGGTCCGCTTGCTCTGTCTATCTTGAAGGCACAAGAAGTCACAACGAATGCCGTGTATCGACTCTCGCGTGCTATCTATAGCCCGTGTCAGACTCTCTGCGAGCTACTTCGCCGAGGGTTTGCACTTTAATTAACCCTCAGCGCGCATGCGCAGCAAGGGTTACTGTAGTTGGGTTTGTCTGTGTGTCTGTGTGTCTGTGTGTCTGTTACTCTCAATCTCACTTCTCGGGTGTTCGTTCGTCTCACAAAGGATACGACCTACTTAACGGGCAATGAAGGTCAGAAATTTTGAACGGTTTTCTCTGAAAATGCTCCGTTGCAAAGCTAGAGCGCTTCCAGCATTGTATGGCAAATGCCGGTAGTCGCCATTTTATCGCTGGCTGTTAATGCGCATGCGCTTATATTAACACAGGCTTACCTCGACCGGGTCCCGCTTGCTCTGTCTATCTTGAAGGCACAAGAAGTCACAACGAATGGCGTGTATCGACTCTCGCGTGCTATCTACTACTGTAGCTAGCCCGTGTCAGACTCTCTGCGAGCTACTTCGCCGAGGGTTTGCACTTTAGTGCTTTTCATTGAGTCTGTCTGTCTGTCTGTTTGTCTGTTACTCTATATCTCACTCCTCGAACGTCTGTTCGTCCCAGAAACGATACCATCTACCCAACGGGCGACGAAGGTCAGAAAATAAAGGCGGTTTTCTGCCAATATGCAAATACACAACGGCTTACTACGGCATGAGCGATCCACGTGCTCTGCGTACCTCGGAGGCACAAGAAGATGTAACGCAGGGCGTACGTGTATCGCCTCTCGCATGCTATCTAGTGGTGTAGTTAGCCCGCGTCAGACTCTGCGCGAGATGGCAAGAGACCACGAGTAACAGCTAAAACTAAACCCAGCCCATCAATTAGTGGTACGGCGCATGTGCACAGTGCGCCGAGGGTTTGCACTTCAGTGCTTTTCATTACCCTCGGCGCGCATGCGCAGCGAGGGTATATACTGTAGTTGGGTTTGTCTGTGTGTGTGTGTGTGTGTGTGTGTGTGTCTGTTACTCTACATGTCACCTCTCGAATGTATGTTCGTCCAAAAACGATACCATCTACCCAACGGGCGACGAAGGTCAGAAAATATGTGGGGTTTTCTCTGAAAATGCTCCGTTGCAGAGCTAGAGCGGGTCCGCTTGCTCTGTCTATCTTGATGGCACAAGAAGCGTGCTAGCTAGCCCGTGTCAGACTCTCTGCGAGCTACTTCGCCGAGGGTTTGCACTTTAGTGCTTTTCATTAACCCTCGGCGCGCATGCGCAGCGAGGGTTACTGTAGTTGGGTTTGTCTGTGTGTGTGTCTGTTACTCTACATCTCACCTCTCGAATGTCTGTTCGTCCCAGAAACGATACCATCTACCCAACGGGCGACGAAGGTCGGAAAATATGTGGGTTTTCTCTGAAAATGCTCCGTTGCAGAGCTAGAGCCATTGTATGGCTAAGGCCGGTATATAGTCGCGCTGGCGGATAATGCGCATGCGCTTATATTTAGCACATGCTTATATACCTCGACCTGGTCCGCTTGCTCTGTCTATCTTGAAGGCACAAGAAGTCACAACGAATGACGTGTATCGACTCTCGCGTGCTATCTACTACTGTAGCTAGCCCGTGTCAGACTCTCTGCGAGCTACTTCGCCGAGGGTTTGCACTTTCATTAACCCTCGGCGCGCATGCGCAGCGAGGGGGTTGTCTGTGTGTGTGTGTTGTGTGTTACTCTACATCTCACCTCTCGAATGTCTGTTCGTCCCAGAAACGATACCATCTACTCAACGGGCGACGAAGGTCAGAAAATATGTGGGGTTTTCTCTGAAAATGCTCCGTTGCAAAGCTAGAGCACGAAAAAGACAATATGCAAATACGCAACGGACGGGATGGCTTACCGCGGTCTGATCGATCAGCGTGCTCTGCGACCTAGGAGGCGCCAGAAGATGCAACGCAGGGCGTGTATCGCCTCTCGCATGCTGTCTAGTGTAGTTAGCCCGCGTCAGACTCTGCGCGAGCTGGCTAGAGACCAGGAGTAACAGCCAGAACTAAACCCGGCCCATCAATTAGTGATACAGCGCATGCGTTTACTGACGCGTGCGCGTCACAATGCGCCACTTTCATTAACCCTCGGCGCGCATGCGTAGCGAAGGTTACGGGTTTGTCTGTCTGTGTGTGTGTCTGTTACTCTACATCTCACCTCTCGAATGTCTGTTCGTCCCAGAAACGATACCATCTACCCAACGGGCGACGAAGGTCAGAAAATATTGTTTGCGTTTTCTCTGAAAATGCTCCATTGCAGAGCTAGAGCGCTTCCAGCATTGTATGGCTAATGTGTAGTCGGCCATTTTTATCGGTGTATCTTGAAGGCATAAGAAGTCACAACGAAGGGCGTGTGTGGACTCCCGCATGCTATCTACTACTGTAAGCTTGTCCGTGTCAGACTCTCCGCGAACTACTAGCGTGGATACCACGAGTAAACGCATACTAAAAGCCCAGCCCATCAATTAGTGGTACCGCGCGGCAGTTGCCCGAGGTTGACTTCAGTGCTTTTCATTAACCCTCGGCGCGCATGCGCAGCGAGGGTTACTTAGTTGGGTTTGTCTGTGTGTGTGTGTGTCTGTTACTCTACATCTCACCTCTCGAATGTCTGTTCGTCCCAGAAACGATACCATCTACCCAAACGGGCGACGAAGGTCAGAAAATAAAGTTTGCGTTTTCTCTGAAAATGCTCCAGTTGCAAGCTAGAGCGCTTCCGGCATTCTGCGGCTAATGCGTAGTCGGCCATCGCTTGCTCTGTTTATCTTGAAGGCACAAGAAGTCACAACAAAGGGCGTGTATCGACTCTCGCATGCTATCTACTACTGTAGTCCGTGTCAGACTCTCTGCCAGCTACTAGCGGGCTACTAGGCAATAGCCCAGCCCATCAATTAGCAGTATCGCGCACGCGCAGTTCGCCGAGGGTTTGCACTTTAGTGCTTTTCATTGGGTCTGTCTGTCTGTTTGTTTGTCTGTTACTCTATATCTCACTCCTGGAACGTCTGTTCGCCCCAGAAACGATACCATCTACCCAACGGGCGACGAAGGTCAGAAAATAAAGGCGGTTTTCTCTGAAAATGCTCCGTTGCAAAGCTAGAGCACGAAAAAGCCAATATGCAAATACACAACGGACGGGATGGCTTACCGCGGTCTGATCGATCCGCGTGGTCTGCGACCTCAGAGGCACCAGAAGATGCAACGCAGGGCGTGTATCGCCTCTCGCATGCTGTCTAGTAGTGTAGTTAGCCCGCCCGCGTCAGACTCTGCGCGAGATGGCTAGAGACCAGCCAGAACTAAACCCAGCCCATCAATTAGTGATACAGCGCATGCGCTTACTCACGCGTGCGCGTCACAATACGCGAGGGTTGTACTTCAGTGCTTTTCATTATATAGCAAATGTTTTTGTTATTAGTTCTTATAAATTCCACAACTCTTGTTGTATGAGATGTACTAAACACTTTGTTCAAGTCCAATATTCTAATGCATGCAGTTGTGTACCGTTACATAATCAGTTCAATACATACCTGCAGAAACAAATAGAGCATGGAGCAGTATGTGACTGTAACACTGAGAAGCTTACTTTGTGACTGTAACAGTCCTCCCCCTCTCCTTCCCAAACACCTACATCACGGGACATAGTGGCAGTATAATAATATAAGGGCTAAATTTATAAACTGTTACTAAAAACAGAAACGTAATTGAATTCTTGTACTGGGCCCTATGATCTTTAGTAACTTTTCTAAATTTACCCCTTCTAAGATTAGCTCTTGACGTACTGACACGTTCCCTTTAATGACTGACAATGGCCCAGAGAGCGTGCAATGACCCACCAGTAGAACGATGGAGAAGTTTCTGATGATGGTGACACTCTTTTGTTTTTCACGGTGACCTGAACGTACCGCCCCTTGTTGGGGACACTCTCAAACAGAACCGTGCCATCTGGTGACTCCTTCAGATAGAAATCATTGTCCAAATTCTCTTCTCCCTATATTATGTGGTGGTGGGTGATACAGTGAGTAACCCCCGTCAATTTTTGGTTTTGTGACTGTGACCCAACATTATCAGTTTTTACTGTGTGCATATAGCTAGGGTTGCCTTACTCTGAGGTACAGACAGACAGACGGACTGATACACACCAACCAAGTAGCTACCATAATCCTCGCTGCATGTACATGTAAAATGACAACTCACTTACATACTATACAGAAAGGAGTAAGAACGGTGCATGAGGGGTTAACTGCCGTCTAGTACTTGCCTGGCAGATGAGGTTTCCGTTAAACCTCATTTTGAGTTTGAGGAGGGGAGGAGCATAGCTCTGCAGCGAGACTCTGCCCAGACCTCGATCACAGTACACCATGAAAGCTGCATGTGTCAACAACGAGTAAAAGTATACCAGAAAAACAAAAACAGCGTTGTGTTATTATTGTTATGGATTTTCTAAAGTGACAAAAAGTGATTGTGTTTTCTACTCATTCAAGCCAAAAGCAACATTGCAAGTGACACGGTGCAAAAGTATTAGACCTCCAGGTGGACTTACTCTTGTCGTTGTCAGCGTTTGTCATTCCCACTACATCTCCATTGACCCTCAGACCGAGGTAGATACCAGTTGCCTTGGAGTACAACTGAACAACACTCCTGTCCTTCAGCTGGTTCTGCAGCAGTCAGAGAAACAAGTCGTGTGTGTGCGTGCAGGCATATGGGTGTGTGTGTGAAACTGTGATCTGTGGGTGTATAATAATTGTGTAGAACTTACGACAATGGAAGGTCTCCCATGAGGACACATGATTTGTGTGGTGTAAGGTCCAACAAACCTCTGTAAGTGAGAACCAATGGAGAGACACATAGCAATGTAGTGATATCAAACACCACACCTTTCACTACTTTGCAAAGGTATGCAGGTCTGCTGAAATCTCACCTGTACTCGTACTATAAACTGGATGTCGCTGAAGTCTGGTGGCATCTCTTGCACCGAGAGGTGAGCATTCTGGTCCACGGTCAGAAACGACTTGAGGAACTTGCGAGACTCAAAGGTGACCTTTGTGTCCTTGTACGGCCGAATTATGAACTCAAACGCAGGGTCCCCCACCTTTATATGGCGTGTTCTAGACAAACAAGAGGATGTTGGAGCTAAGATAAGAGTTTTAGAGTTAGGTGCACACAAATCTCCATCACTGGCCTATAGCATGCACTGAGTATAGTATAGGCCAGTGATGGAGATTTGTGTGCCAGCATGCACTGAGTATATTATATAGGCCAGTGATGGAGATTGTGTGCACCTATATAACTAGTATATAATACTAGTGGTGGGGGATGCACAGCTGTGTTGTTTGTGCTATTATGCCCCTGAAATTCCAAATTGAGTTGCAAAACTCAGCAAAAGCACATTGGAGTACATGAAAGGTGACACTTTTTTGGCCTTTAGAGCTGTTTAGCTGAGGGAGCAAACCTTGATAGACACGGCTCTGTGGTCGTCGACCATTAGCCTCCCTCTGTTGGGGATCCTCAGAGTCACTATAAACGAAGCTGCCACCTCTGACACCAGCCCACCTGTTTTTGCATCAAAGAAATAGCAAAATCTATGAAGAAATGTGTACCATGTGTTAGTATAACCCTTTCATAAATTTTGTTGTGAAAGGCAAGTAAGTATGTAGAGCCACTGGACCTTATCATTGTCCATTAGACAAGGATGCATTATTAATACAACGGGAATAATGGGGGAAAACTCAAGAAGGAACAAACTATAGGCATTAAAATTAATCCGTTTGAGACCCCTGCAATTATGCGATTGAGTTTGCTTACATTCTTGATTGAGGGAGCCCCTTCCCTTGATTGAAATCCCAGTGAGCAGGTTGCCTTGCACTGTGAGAGGTCTGCCGACTGGGTCGATACCAGGGAGGAGGCTGAAGGTGTTACTGGGGTGAAACAGGTCCTGTGGGAGACATGACCACAAAAACAACAGTGGGGGGAAGTGGAATCTGAGCATTACTATGATAATTTTTACCCCTACTTCATTTTTGAGAGTAAACTTCAACCTCTGTGTGACCACACCCAAATAACTTTAATTTTAAGGAGCTATATTATACTGCAACAAAGTACTCCACATTGTGCATAAGTATACACATTTATATCCTTGGCTTACTCACTCACAGTTTAAAAACAACGAGCAATTGGCAACCTTGCTGCAGTACCTACGTTTTATGATGCACTCATAATTCCTACCATAATGGTGTATCCAGTGGGGAGTATGGGGTCATTAGTTGGGACCAGTTGGTCAGTGGCAGCTCTGTAGCCTCCAGGAGTGACGGGGCCACGATGATTCAATGGGCTCACAGGTTTCTCTCTGCCAGTGAAGAGTTCATACATCTCCTCCAGTCTGTCCACTAGCCAGGTCCTCTGTGCGGCAAACTCGGACCTCATCTGGTTCATCTCCCGCTCCCGAGGTTCCAGCCTTGCCACGTGGCTCTCGTACTCTGTCTTCTTGGCCTCCTGCTCCTTCCAGAGACTCTGGACTGCCTCCATGTGCTCTCTGTGCCGGCTCCTCAGCTCTTCCACCTCACCCCCTCCCTCGGAATTGTCGTCTGGGAATAACTCATTTGCGGGAGAGATCTGACCCATTCTTCCCTCCAAGGTCTTGCACTGTGTCATCTCCCTGGTCAGGTCTTGCTTGACTCTCTTTAGACTGGCACAGGTGAGCTCTCCCTCGGTCCTGGCCTGCTCCAGGACTGTCTCCCTGGCACACATCTCCTCATCCTTCATCTTTAGGTCCACTCTCACACCTTCCATCTCAGTCAGCATCTGCTGTATCGTTTGGTTCTGTAGCAGTAATTTACAGAGAAACAGAGAATTTGACAGGGGTTTAGGTACAACAGAATAATGTGCTCTTGTGGGGAAAAGGAAGAGTTTCAGCCAGTTACACTTTTGCATTAAAGATTGCTCATGAAAAGAGATGAGTATAATTATTGAAACCTACGATAGCTACCTACCCCACTCAGAAGTTTTTTCACCACCGAGGACCAGAGTGGACCATCTTCACTAACATGAGGCAGTGGAACCCCTGTATACACAGACAGAGGTATACATAGGTACTGTGTTGACTTACTCTCTTGGGTATCTGATGCGATCAGGTTTCCAGGAGATGTCTATGTACATCGTGAATATTGCTGCTTTGAGGCTAAAAATTGCTCGATGTTACCTATGTACTTCATCCCAAATTCATACTGTGTAGTGTAAAAGTGTTCATGTGTACAAACATTAAGTAATAGGCATGCCTTTTTCTATGCAGGCAATCTGGGCCTTGCCCCTCAATCCCAGTATAATCAGAGCCTCCACCAGTACAGACCACTTGGCAGAGTCTCCCCTGCTCCTGCCCCAGGTCTGCAGGACGCTGGCCCTCTGTTTCTCATCGTCCTTCTTGTCGACTGCCTCAATGGCCAGCCACTCCTCCATCCTCAGACCCAGGATCTGACTCAGGAGGAAGGGAGGCATGTCCTCAAACAGCCTCACTGCCAGTGGGTAATCTTCCTCCAGGAACTCCTTGTCCTCAAACACTGCACAAGAAACACTCTCAGTTATGACAGCATATATTGAGTAGAGGAGTTTGTAAAGTACTTGATACGGCACTGGCAGTGGGACTGGTGAGAGATGAGAGAAGAGACTCTAGGTCAGCTGGCTCAGATCTGAAGGAAGTAAAAAAACACAACCATTGAACCTCTAATAAAGACACTGGAGTAGGGACACAATAGAAAAAACCCAAGGACACAGTTTGAGGACCTAAACGTTCACTTCCAAAGAGAGGACAACCTCTCAATAAAGGATAAAATTAATGCGTGGTCCAAGGCAATGCATCCATTATTCGGAGTGTAAGAAACGCTTTTCTAGTTCTTACTCTGGTGTTCTTTGTTGTTCTATCTCCTCAAAAACTTCAGCAGTCTCTCCATCTTCTTCTGCACCTTCTTCCATCAACGTCTCTTCAGTCTCAACCTGATAAAACGGGTCGTGAACGAGAAGATGGATAATAATGTGGCGATTTTCCTGAAACGACTGCGTTCCAGAGATATGGCGTGAAAACAAGTGAAAAAGCCAACGCGCGGTCGATCGCGCACACGCCCTCTCCGGCAGGCTAGCTATATAGCGCGCACGCGTCAAGTCGTCATGTCAATTATTCGCCGGAGAATGCGAACGCCACGTTGGTTGTACTATATCCACGGGCTTCTGTCAGTTTTGATATCTGTTCTCTTTGTATAAACATGCTGAGCAAAGTATGTTCGCAATGTAGCAAAATAGATAGTTCAGGTGGCGGCAGTTTGTGGCTATAAAACGTCTGGCGAGAGCATTGAAACACAGAAGAGCGGATAGATTGAATATGAAAGCCTCTGAAACACCTGAACAATTGCTCTAACCGCTAATGCAACTACCCTGTGTAATGGCGAGACTCGCGTTACTGGCTCTGTCGATGACGCACGGCCCAGCATACAGCGATGCTACAACTCGCGCGTTTAGCGCCGAGGGTTTGCACTTTAGTGCTTTTCATTTTAATACTGTGTTGTAAAGCAGAATAATAGTAATAATAATAATAATAAAATAGTAACAATAGCGTGAAGTACAATGGGACCTCTGATAAGGGATCCTCTGAGATAGGGACGAGATAGGGATGACCTCTCTACAAGAACACTTGTGTTAACCCCATGCTAATACATACTTAATGAAAAGCACTGAAGTGCAAACCCTCGGCGAACTGCGCACGCGCGGTACCACTAATTGATGGGCTGGGCTTTTAGTATGCGTTTACTCGTGGTAACCACGCTAGTAGCTCGCGGAGAGTCTGACACGGACAAGCTACAGTAGTAGATAGCATGCGGGAGTCGACACACGCCCTTCGTTGTGACTTCTTATGCCTTCAAGATACACCGATAAAAATGGCCGACTACGCATTAGCCGTACAATGGTGGAAGCGCTCTAGCTTTGCAACGAAGCATTTTCAGAGAAAACCCCACATATATTCTGACCTTCGTCGCCCGTTGGGTAGATGGTATCGTTTCTGGGACGAACAGACATTCGAGAGGTGA